GTATAGGCCAGATGTGTGAAAGGGTGAGAGGATTCATCAGAGACAGAGTGGGGAACCGAATAGGCAGACTGGTGAAATACACTGCTGAGGGGAGCAGCAGGCAAGACAGGAGAGGTTTGCTGTGCTATGTGGGTTGCTCCGAAGCCGGCGGGGATCTAACCAGCACTGCAGAGGTTACGGACAGCCTCACAGTGCTGTGCTCAACTGCCTGCACCACGAGGGAGGCCCTAACCATTTTCTTTATCCTCAATGCAAAACCGAATGGCCCTCCACTTCCCTCTCCCCAAGTTGCTTCTTCTTTCACATAGGAACCTGGGAACTAACCCAAAATCTCCTTATAAGCTCATAAAAATAGTATTCAGTGAGGCTGTTTTTCCTACAGTTGAAATGTTGTGCTAAAATGTAAGTTGCTTTAAAAAGCAAATTTAAATTGTTACATCAACAGAGTTGGCTTTCTCTAGGTTTAAATGCATAGGTGGTTATAGCTAGGCTTAGATCTCTTGATGATATAATTTTATAGCGCTCAAGAAATTACTTTTATATCACACCTTAGTTACCTTTCTTTTTTTTTTAAGATTTATTTTATTGATACAAGAACTGGGGTACAGACCAGAGGCGCAGGAGGATGAGAGAATTCACCAGAGACAGGGGAGCAGAACAGGCAGATGGACCAAAAACACTGCTGAGGGGAGCAGCGGGCAACACAGAAGAGGTCAGCTGTGCCATGTGGGTATCTCCTTGGCCAGCAGGGAATCGAACATGCATTGCAGAGGCTGCGGACAGCTTCAGAGGACTGTGCTCAACCTGCTGCACCACTGAGGAGGCCCTTTAGTAACCCTTTCAAGACATTTTTTTTTCTCTTCCTTTGATCTTTCTAAATTCTCTTTAATATTCACAACAATAGTTTTCCTTTAAACCCCTGATTCTCTTCCTTCTGTCACAAAAGGAACTTGTTTCTACTAATTTTTCTAAATTTCTATTTACTTTGTGATTTAATACACAGCCCTAGATATTTTAAGATTTTGCATCTAAGAGTAGCAGGAAGTTGTTCAATTCAGAGAAGTTATTTCTGTAACCTATGGGGTGCATCTTCCTTCATCTCCCAAATCTTCATATTTCCTCCACATCATTAACTTGATGTGCAACATCAACTCTGATTCCTGTTAGCTTTTATTTTCTCTTTCAATTAATGATGAGGAGCAATGGGTGGTGAAATGCTGGGTAAAAACATACCAAGTATACACCGTGTTCACCACCAGTCTCTAGTGCAACAATGCAAAGAGAGTGAGGAGTAAGTGAATCATACCAAAGTAGAAACAAAAAGATACTAAGTGAAAGCAGATTCATGTTTGAGAGAATTGGAATGTTTATATTCTAAATAAAAGGAAAAGCAACTGACTTGGAGAGTAAAATTGATCAAGAAGTCACAAGAATTAACATCTTCTGGGCCTCCCGGTGGCACAGTTGGTTGAGCGCGTTGCTGTGGAACTGTCCGCAGCCTCTGCTGCACCAGCTTCGATTACCAGCCAGTCAGGGAGATTCCCACATGGCATGGCAGACCTCTCCTCTCGTGCCCGCTGCTCCCTTCAGCAGTGTATTTTGGTCATCTCCCTGTTCTGCTCCCTGTTCTGTCTCTGGTGAATTGTCTCACCCTCCTGTGCCGCTGGTCTGTACCCCAGCTCTTGCATAAAAATAAATAATATTTAAAAAAAAAAAAACTTTCCCTTGAATTACTCTTGGAGCAGAAATCATTTTAAAATAAAATCCCCTAATTTTTTTTAAAGATTTATTTATTCATGCATACAAGAACCAGGGGATAGGCCAGATGTGCGGGAGGGTGAGAGAATTCACCAGAGACAGAGCGGGGAACAGAGCAGGCAGACGATCAAAATACACTGGTGAGGAAGCAGCAGGCGCGACAGGAGAGGTCTGCCATGTCATGTGGGTGTCTCCCTAGCAGTGCTGCACTCACCCCCTGCACCACCAGGGAGGCCCCATCCCACTAATATTTTTTTTAGAAACATTGTATTATTCATAGGTGTACAGTCACCCCCTTTCAAGTGTATTTTGCCACACCACATGTACTAGCAAGGCACCCATAGTCCTTCACCATAGACCATTGCACCCCTTCCCACTCCCCTTGTGGTAGCCATAATTCTATAGGCACATTTCTGTGGTTTGCTATTGGTTTGGCTTTTAATGACCATTTGTTTTGATTCTCTTTAGTCTATATATTAGTGAAACCATCCAGTGTTTGCCTTTTTATCTCTGACTTATTTCACTTAGCCTTATCCCCACCCATGTTGTCACAAATGGCAAGTCTTCATCTTTTTTTTTTTTTCCTATATAGCTAAATAGTATTCCATCCTGTATCTATACCATATCATAGTCCACTCATCTCTCCTTGGGCACTTAGGTTGTTTCCGTAATTTGTCAACTGTAAATAGTGTTGCTGTGAACATATATTTGTAAGCTGTTTTTGCATTAAGCAGAGTCACTGCTATGAGTTATATGATGTTAAATTTAAGTTATGATATACTACCTCCAGAAACTTTTGGGAAATTTAAATATCAACCTCATTTTTCAAGGGAAATATAAATGACCCCCCCCATTATTTATCGCTTTCTCATTTACTCAATAAATTATTTCCTTTGGATTTATCATAGAGATTCCAATAGCTACTTATGTGACAACTTTGCCTTCCTTATAAGTGCAGCTGAAATTACAGATTAAATATCAAGTCTCATTTGTTAGCTGCCCTCCAAAACAAATTGTTGAAACAGAAAGACTAGAAAAATGGGTAATCGCTGATAGACCTAAAGCAGACAGGAACAAATTGATCTCACAATCCAGAAGATTTTAAAACTCTAAAATTGCAAAGATAACCCCCCGCATCCAAGCTATCAGTTTGTTTTGTTTTTAAGCAGAACCTAAAAATAAGAGCAAGATTTGAGTGCAGCAGGATGCAAAATGAAAATGTAGGCAACAAGAAGTAGCAGGAGAACTGAGGCAGTCTAAGACATTGATTCTTTTTTTTTTTTTAAATGATTTATTTATTTATTTATAGAAGCACTGGGTACAGTCAGAAGCACGGGAGGGCGAGAAAATTCACCAGAGCCAGAGCAGGGAACAGAACGGGCAGACTGATGAAACACACTGCTGAGGGGAGCAGCGGGCATGGCAGGAGAGGTCTATTGAGCCAGGTGGGACCCTCGCCGGGAACAAACCAGTAGTGCTGCAGAGGCTGCGGGCAGCCCCGCAGCCCAGCGCTCAACCGCTGCGACACCAGGGGAAGCCCAGAGAGAGAGAGACATTGATTCTTGCATTTACCCGTGTGCCATTCCCCAGCCTGCTCCCACTGCCACCTACGAATGGGTGCTTTTCACTTAGAAACAGTTACCTGACACATGTCCCCAACTGCTCTCCCATACTGTACAATCAATGGAGATTGGATTCCAAATCGGGACTTTCTTTACTGCTTGGTGAATAAATTATTTGGGATGATATTATTTAAACTTGTTACATTAATTGAGAAATATACAATTAGCTTTACATCCATGGGTTCCACATCTTTGGGTTTAACCAGCTGAGGATGGAAAACACATCCTGTGTAGCTGGCCTACAATGGTTGCGTCGGTACTCACTGTACAAACTTGTTCTTCCCTGTTATTCCCTAAACAATACTGTATAGCAACTATTTACACAGCATTTACATTGCATTAGGTATATAAATAATTTAGAGATGATGTAAAGTATATTGATGACTGTGTGTAGATGTATGCAAATATGATGCCATTTTATATAAGGGACTTGCACAGCCAAGAAACCACAGGGGGGCGGGGAGAGGAGGTTTGCTGGACCCAATAGCCCAGTTACCAAGGAATGAAATTTTAGTATTTAAAAATAGGAAGTTAATGGTTAGAAAAATGGAATTCTGGGGGTCTCCCTGGTGGTGCAGCAGTTGAGCACTGGGTTGCGAAACTGCCCGCAGCCTCTTGCAGCGCCAGTTCGATCCCCGGCTGCTCCCCGGCCACAGGAGGAGGGTCCCGCATGGCGCGCAGACCTCTCCTGCCGCCCGCTGCTCCCCTCAGCAGTGTGCTTCGGTCCTTCTGCCTGCTCTGCTCCCCGCTCTGGCTCTGGTGAATTCTCTCACCCTCCCGCGCTTCTGACTGTACCCAGTGCTTGTACAAATAATAAATAAATAAATATTTAAAAAAAAAAAAAGAAAAATGGAATTCTGTATTAACTCTTTTACGATATCGGAAGACAATAAAAGAGGAAAAAATATCAATCTAGCAAAAGTGACAAGAAAAAAGAGGAAACGTTATAACATATTTTTTTCACTTCCACATTTATAATTTAAAGGGCGGAAATTAGCATAAATGTCCAATACTAGTAGAGAAAATAAATTAAGATCGATCCATAAAATGGTGTATGATACTTTATTATTTTTAAATATTTATTTATTTGTTTATACAAGCACTGGGTACAGTCAGAGGCATGGGAGGTTGAGAGAATTCACCAGAGTCAGAGGGGAGAGCAGAGCAGGCAGACTGACGAGGTACACTGCTCAGGGGAGCAGAGGGCGGCAGGAGAGGTCTGCGCGCCTTGTGGGACCCTCACCTGGCAGCTGGTGGTCGAACCGGCACTGCAGAGGCTGCAGGCAGCTTCGCAACCCAGCGCTCAACTGCCTAGCCACCAGGGAGGCCCTGATACAACTTTAAAATGAGAACTCTTATACTGACATATGAATGCCTCCAAAATCTTTGCCTTGGTGCACCAAGTCCAAATGTCATTCCACTTCAGTCACACAAGCTAGTTCCTAGGGTAGTGCAGAATAAGAACAGAAGACTGAATATGGATAATAAAAATTAAATTTACTGTGTATCACAGTGGGCAGCCTTAATTAGAATATCACTGAAACTCTTATGTGCCATATTTCCTCCCTATGGTACCCAAAGGTGATTTATCTACTCCTCTTCCTTGTCCTTCCTTTTTAGTAACACTTCTCAGGCCGGTTAGCTTCAGTTTTAAAGTTTGCTGTGCTTTTAATACAAGAAATGACTTCATTACCATCTTCTTGGACAACTTGAAGCTCCAAAGAGACAGTAAGTCTCACTTTTGCCTTGCATCTTACTAGGGAAATAGTTATGAGTTTTAGCAGAGATGTGTACCAGACAGAATTGATCAGGCATTTATTCCCCATTCATGATGGAACTAAACCTCTGAGTCTGCAGAAATACTCTAAGCAGCCTTTGGGCTCTGAATCTAAACTTAACTGACACAGGGCATTGGGCAGAATAAGACTGTCTTCTGCTGGGCCATGTTTTTTATCTTGCTCTTTTCTTCAGTGAGCAGAATAGGCAAACCATGCCCATACACTTACTAACCATGAGGTTTGTACTTACTCCATGGAGAAGCAATAGGACAGAAGTGGTCAGAAGCTTTCTAGGTGTACAGACATGTATACAATATATATATATCATGTAATATGTATTATATACATTGCATTATATATTATATATTACATATAATATATGATACATTATCTATACATTGCATATAGTGTGTGTGTTTGTATGTGTGTATATAGTCTGTGTGTATGTGTGTTTGTGTGTGTAGGCAGGCACAAGTTGACCCTTAAATAATTCATTCTTTTTTTTTTTGTCCTGATTCTTTTTTTTCTTAAATATGAGGTATTTTCCACATTATGTTTATTGAGATAAAGTAGGTTTACAATATTGTATCTGCTTTGGAGGTTGTAGGTTTAAACCTCTACAAATGTATATTTCACACCCTGCCCACCACCAGTGCTCCAGTAAACCACCACCATGTTCCATTGAGCTCCTTTACTCCCCCACTCACATCCATCTGTCTGCCTTTATTTTGTAGTCAGATGTTAAAAGTTTATTATTGGTTTGGTTTGACTGACTCTTTATTATATTTCTCTATATTTCACATATAAGTGAGACTGTCCAGCAGTTTCTTTCTTGTCCTAATTGTTAGTCTGCATCACAACCCCAAATTCCTGCCTGTAACATCGGTAAATGCAAAGTAGATAGTCAGGTATATCAAGTCTTGTCCTGTCTTTGAGTTAGTAAGTATTTCATCCGCATTCCTATTTTATCATCATAATACTATTAATATAGGGTACACTTCCTGTCATTTAGGATATCCTAAAATCTCTGTCAAGGTATAATTTGAATTTTTTCACCTTCATTAAGGTATAACTAACAATACATTTTTAAATTCTTTATAACTATTTAAACTGATATATTCAGTGTACAATATGATATATTTTGACATAAGTTAATATCCATGAAAATATTACCCAAGAATTTCACTGTGCTCCCTTGTAAAACATCCTTCCCTCCTATTTTCTGTTCTTAATTGACTACTGATCTGCTTTCTGTTACAATGGAATGCTTTGCATTTTATAAAATTTCCTACACAAGTATGTAAATTTTTTTTTTGGCTTCTTTCACTCATTGTGATTGTTTTGAATCTCATCTATGTGTTGCAAGTGCCAATTGCATATTTCTTTTTATGACTTAATGGCATTCCATTTACCACTCTTGCTTTTTTCTAATTACCTGTTGATAGACATTTATGTTGTTTATGTTGTTTCCAGGTGTTGGCTACTACAAAGCTGTTTGAGACATTTGTGTGTAAGTCTTCGTAAGGGAGTTTGCTTTTATTTCTCTTAGGTAAGTGGTTCAGGAGGGATGGCTGGGTTATATGGTAGATACATATTTAAATTTTAAGGTACTGTCAACCCATTTTCCAAAAAAAACTTGTACCATTTTACATTCCTACCAGCAGCCTGTGAGGGTTTCCAATAGTTTCTCTCCTTGTTAACAATAGGTATAGTCAGTTTTTAATTTTAGCTATGTGACAGCATCTGAATGTGGTTTTAATTTGCATTTCTGAAGTCATTAATGATGTTCTAAAGACACCAAACTTTTATTAGAGTCAGAAGCATGCTAGCAGCTACTTTGCAAATAATGAATACTTTTCTGTTGCACATGAAATCATCTCGCTCCAGAACTGTAGAGTGTCTGTGCTGAGTCTTTTCTTGGTGCTGGCAGAAGACATATATAGTGTCCTAATCTAAAAATGCTAGCACCATAGGACCCGCCATGACATATGGCTCCAGTAGCAGTAGTGCTTATAATGCAATCTCAACTCCCCCAAAGAACCCCATTCAAAAAGGACAGCCTTCCACGTTACCTGATAAATGGGTTCACATCACCTTCCATAATTCATCCCACTTTTATAGGTTAAATGGGGAGATAAAAGGAAATTGTATCCTTTTACTTTTTTGAGGGTAGTATTAATTCCTGCATTTCTACATAGAATGTCATACTGCTTCTCATTTATTGTCTTAGTGAAGTCAGCAACATCAAGAACTTGGTCTTTCCTCACCTCGGGCCTTACTCCACAGACCAGGGAACCAGCATGAAGATATTTGCCAGCAACCAAGTATTTCCATATAATTTACGTACTTGGAGACTAGGAAAATGACATACTGTTCCCACTGAGAAACAAATGTTGAGCCAAGACACTATTCATCACTCTTATAGAGGAGCCATGATGGTTGATGGAGTTTTTGTTCCCTATATTGGAGTCAACTCAGATCCCATGTCAAACTACCCCCGAAGGTCTGACTATTCTACTTTCCCCAGTGAATTCATGTTACGTGGGGATGTAGTTATGGATCCCTAAGGAGAAGGCTGGGGAAGAATCATCATAAATATTGCACAAAGGTTTCAGAATCTACTCTTTTTTTTTAAGATTTTTTTTTATTTATATAAGAGCTGGGGTACAGGTCAGAGTCGCAGGAGGGTGAGAGGATTCACCAGAGACAGAGTGGGAAGCAGAACAGGCAGACGGACTGAAAGCACTACTGAGGGGAGCAGCGGGCGAGACAGGAGAGGTCTGCCTCGCCATGTGGGATTCTCCCTGGCCGGTTGGGATCGAACCCACACTGCAGAGGCTGTGGACCACTTCACAGCACGACACTCAATCCGCTACACCAGTGGGGAGGCCCCAGTATCTACTCTTAAGGGGACCTATTATTTTTCTTTAATCTATGGCTTTCAGGTCAGAGAACAGGCTCTTATCTGTAAGCTGGCAAGAGATCATGACTATGATTGACATAAGACTGTGTTCTTGATCATTTTTATTATCAACATTAAGCAATTCTCTTGTTGATTGGCCATCTAGCTTGACCCTGTTATCACCATATTCTTTAAGTATGACCCCTGGTTGATCCTCACAGGTCAGGGCTCCATGCCCATTAGAATAATCACATCCAAATTAAGTGCTCTACCTGACCTTTGTTTATCTGGAATCCTGTCTTCTCCACAGAACCCAGATCCATAAGAGGACTTCATACTCTTGGCCCTTGCTAAAGAGTTCACCCACCACTGAGCTTCTTAGCAATACTTGTTTTTCTTCACTAGTAAATTCCAATGGCCAGAGAGAAGAGGATCTTCCTCTGGGACCTTTAGGGGAACACAGGCAACTACTCTCTGGCCTTATGTAATAAATCCTTCTGACATGACTTGCTTTCTGAGTCTTTCCTCAATATTCATCCATAGAGTTCCAGTTTTTCTAGCATTTTTTCCAACCGCAAGGACCTAGATTAGCAGCCAAGGAATAACTGTAGGTGTCATTGCTAGGACATCGAATACTAAATCATGGGATTTCCTCATCCAGTGCCCAGCATGCTCTTTCAGTCTCTGCCAGTATTCATTAGCCAATTCCTGCGGAGTTGTTGATGAATAATCCATTTCCTCTCAAAGCAGGGTTAATTCTTCCCTGGTGAAGGCCATATTGAAACTGAATCTAGTAGTGGTTTAGAAGCATACTCCTCACACGAGGCCTTTAAATGGTCTCCAAGCAAGGACAGGGTGATTTATAGGAAAAAGACACTTTTGCTGACTTAGATGGTTCAGGGTAAAGTTGAGAGTCTAGGTCTTAAGCACCTAGGCTCATCCATATTTCAGGATCTCGTTCCTTCTCCATCAGGGCCCTGACATTCATAAAGAAAACTTGCAAGGGCTGTGATTTCAACCATCTGTGTAAGTCTGCTAGTCTTAAAACCAGGTCCTCGGATTGGACTTTGAAATAGTTAACCTCTGATTTCAGGATTTGAATAGCTCTTTAAGTGCTACCACTGATGCCTTCTGCCTGTCTGTCTTATGTCAACTGAATTGACAGTTAACTCACCTGACACTATAATTTTCTCCCTTGGTACATAAATCGGAAGGAACAGTTCCCCACCAGCTTCACAGCCTTTTTAATTTCCATGTCCCCATTTTGCTTAGATGCTGGAGGTACTTTATGTGGCAGAGCACTGCCTCCAGTCTCACTCTAGCACCCCTGAGGATATCAGCAGCCCATTTGCAGCCCCCTAGCAATTAGCTACTTTTTGGCATTAACAGCTCTCACAGCCTTCTTTATATACCTCTGAACTGAATTTACTTTCTTCTGGAAAATAAACTGCCAGATAGCTCTTACTCATCCTCTCCAATCTCCTGAGACAACCAAATCTGATAAGGTTACTGCATGACAGAAAGCAGATAAGATTGCAAAATACCTACAGGCAAGACAAGCTCTTATAGAGGAAGGTATAGCTGAGAATGCATCTTGCTGCCAGCATACAACTTGTGGGGTGAGGGGAAAGAGAAACGAGAGAGGAGGAGGAGGAGAGAAGAGCAAGAGAACCCGAAGACTGAGATTACAGAGAAAAATAGAAATTGACCACGACAAGCTCTCAAATTTTCCAGTCAGAGAAATCTCATCTGCTTCTGAGTGAGAGAGAGAGATCTCCTTTGGTAAAGAACCCTGAAATGTATACTCTTCTGGGTGGGAAAAAATGAGGGAGACATGTTCCTTGTTAATATGAAGGTATACTAATAAAATATACTGATATAAGGGTAAAGTAGGTTTTTTTTTTTTTAAAGAAATGTCTTCAAATGGTAATTTGTTTTAAAATTCAGATTTTTTTAAAAAAAATTTATTTATTTATGCATGCAAGAACTGGGGGACAGGCCAGAGGTGTGGAAGGGGTGAGAGGATTCACTAGAGACAGAGTTGGGAACAGAACAGGCAGATTGACTGAAATACACTGCCGAGGGGAGCAGCTGGTGAGACAGGAGAGGTCTGCTGTGCCATGTGGGTAGCCCCCCGGCCAGGCATCTAACTTGTGCTGCAATGGCTGCAGGCAGCTTTATCGGTTGCATCTTAACCCCTTGCGCCACCAGGGAGGCCCTAAAATTCAGTACTTAATAAGCAAACCTTAGTACAATTACTCATTAGATAAAACAACATTTGATTAATGCATGCTGTTTCTCTGTAATAGGAAGCTAGAATCACCCTGTGAGCGTGCCCTGGGAATGGATCAGACCCTGCTGGAACAAACACACTTTAATACTTTGGGGACATCAGGAGATGACTTAGGAAGGTACAGTTGTTATCTGAGAGGAACTGGCTTCAAGAAGAAAGCATTTTAAACCCAATAGGAAATAAAGACCATGCTATTGAGTCATTATAATATTCCTAGCATACATCATGCATGATGGAATTTTTTTCTACCTCCTGAGCTCATTCTCCCTTTCTGTAGGGTTTGGTGGTTTGGCCAGACAGTTGCTAAGACACATCTTGCTAAGTCATTAACTGTTATTCTTGAATGTTTTGGCTGTTGCCAAAGTGGTCTGATGGTATAAAAAAAATTAGAGTGCCATCTTGGGAAATATTACTCTTGCAGACTGTTGTTTACAAGCCAACTCAGTTATCCAGACAAAACTATTTTTTAGCATCTCCTAAAATCCTTTAAGAGAAAATGCAGTGAAGGATTTATGTCCTTATTTATGTTCAAGGTTAGTCACTGCAGAATCCATGGCATGTCTTGAGAGCTTTTTTAAAAATTTATTTCTTTCCACATGTGTAATGCACTAATTAAAGGTGTTAAGAGGCTCTTAAGTGAAGAAGTTCTTCTAATAGACTTCCATCTTTGGAGAAATAGTGAAAATCCAAGAGCCTCTCTCTTAAAGTTCTTAATAGGAAAAGGAAGATACGTGGAAACCGCAGATGCTGCTTTCATTTTCCCTCTTCTTCATTTCATCCTTTTGCTGATCTTGGAATTTTTGGGTGTAAGTTGGTGAGAAAGTATTTCCAATATATGACTCATCTCCAGGTAGCAAATAGAAAAAGTTGAAACACTGTACTTTTAGTCTCACTCTAAATATATAACCTGATTATTGCTGACAATTTCATTTTCAAAGTATTTAGTAAGCAACTATATATTGACCTTTCAAACTTAAATGCTAGTATTTTTTTAACCTGTCCATGTGCCAGACACTCTTCTAAACACTTTCCTTATATTATTCATTTCATTGTCCCCACAACTCTATGAAATGGGTTCTATTTTTATCTTCATTTTACAGAGGTATAACTGTGGCACCAAAAGGTTATGTAACTTGTCCAAATAGTGGTACAGCTCAAACTAAAGACCAGCCAGTCTTGAATCAGAGCTTGTGTTCTTACCTATTAAATTATCCTGCCACTGTATATGGGTCTCTCATTCACATCTGAGAGGAACCTGGATAAACACCCTGATAGAATAAGAAAGGAAGAAACCTTTCTTTCCTGTCTCTCATTTCCATTCTCTTTTTTGGCATCTGTTTGAAGGTCAGCTGGCCAATTTGATGTTAGATTTGCAATGTTTCCTCTCATTTTCTTTTTTTTTTAAGAGTTATTTTTTATTTATATAATAGCTGGGGTGCAAGCCAGAGGCACAGAGGGTGAGAGGATTCACCAGAGACAGAGTGGGGAGCAGAACAGGTAGACCGAAAGCACTGCTGAGGAGAGCAGCGGGCGTGATGAGAGGTCTGCCGCACATGTGGGACTCTCCCTGGCCGGCCAGGAATTGAACCTGTGCTGTGGAGGCTGCGGACAGCTGCACTCAACCCACTGCGCTCAATCCACTGCGTTTCTGGGGAGGCCCTTGCCTCTCATTTTCTAAGGTAACACAAATAATGGTAGGATTTTTAATGGGTACAGTTGCTGCTTAGAGGGCTAGCCCTGATACAATCTGTAGCTGAGAAGATAAAACAAAAATCTTTGATTTTAGTTCAACCAGTGGTAGTTCTAATTACCTCATTCAAAAATTCATGGGATGTACATGAAACACATTATAAGTGTAAAAGCAGAAAACGAGGGCCTCCCCGGTGGCTCAGCAGGTTGAGCACAGTCCTGTGAAGCTGTCCGCAGCCTCCACAGCATGGGTTCAATTCCTGGCCGGCCAGGGAGAGACACACATGGCGCAGCAGACCTCTCCTGTCTCGCCCGCTGCTCCCCTCAGGAGTGTATTTCAGTCCGTCTGCCTGTTCTGCTCCCTGCTCTGGTGACACCTCTTACCCTCCCACACATTTGGCCTGTACCACAGCCCTTGTATTAATAAATAAATCTCAAAAAAAAAAAAAGCAGAAAACAAAAAGAAAAGAGAGCAAATTCCCAGCAAATCAGCTGGGTGTCTATTTCTATCCATCGTTACCACTCTGGACCAAGACACCAGTATACCACTTGCCCAAACCACTGCCATATTTTGATAATGTCTCCTTGCTTTCACTCTTGTCATTCCAGTATCATCCTGAACTTAATGCTTCCTATTGCAGTCTGAAAACTTCAAAAATTCTTCAAAACCCTTCAAATTCCAGGCATCTAGCTGCTTCTCCAATCTCATTGTCTTCCTACTAACAATTTGTCAGAGTCATTGCGCTTCTTGCAGTTTTTAAGACATTGTTTTTATTTCCTGATGATGTCAGCATCTGCTATTTCCCTTTCCTTTAGCTGCGATAAGACTGACTCCCAAATCAAGTTTTAAATGTTACTTCCTCAAAGAGGCTTTCCCTCACTTCTCTCCATTAGGTTTTTTTTGTGCTATCCTCTCTCTCTCTTTTTTTTTTTTTTAAGATTTATTTATTTATTTAATTAATTTAAACAAGCACTGGGTACAGTCAGAAGCGCGGGAGGGTGAGAGAATTCACCAGAGCCAGAGCGGGGAGCAGAGCAGGCAGAAGGACCGAAGCACACTGCTGAGGGGAGCAGCGGGCGGCAGGAGAGGTCTGCGCGCCATGTGGGACCCTCCGGTGACCGGGGAGCAGCCGGGGATTGAACCGGCGCTGCAGAGGCTGCGGGCAGCTTCGCAACCCAGTGCTCAACTGCTGCGCCACCGGGGAGGCCCTGTGCTATCCTCTCTTTATCACTGTTCCTTATTCCCTTTTGAAATGATCACAATTTGCAATATAACGTCACTGTTTGTTTGAATGTATCTTTTTACCAGAACGTAATCAACTGAATTCCCTACACACACATCATAGTATCTGTCATATAGCATTGACCACCAGGTGGCATCAAAGCTCGGCAGGGACCAGAGTGAATTTGGACCACAAGTAGATCAAGCTCATCAAGGTTATTTTATTAACCTGGCAATATACAGGCCTGCGCTTGAATTTTGGACATCCTTCCCCTTTCCAAATAGAGTAAGGTTTTAGAGTACTATGTTTTGTTCTGCTTTTAAAGACCACAACTCAAAGCCTTAAAGATAAAGAACATTTATCAAAATAAATGGCTGCTCTAATAATTAGCATTATACTAATTCCTACTTTGAATGGAAAGACTAAATTCCCTGTAACTTAAGTTGTCCATTAAGCAATCAGATGCTAGTTATCCAGTATTATGAAAGACATTTAAGCTGCCAGACTGATCTTGAATTTGATGACTCTGGAGACTTTCAATCTTGAGTACCTTTGTTTCTAGGATCCAATTTAAATATTTAAAAATACATAAAGACCAGGTGGTTTGGTAGATGAAATAAAAAATAATCAATGATTAAAAAAATGGAAACAAACAAAATAAATAAAAATCATTTTAAAATGTGTAGTTTCATTAAGAATACTAGCTTAGGAATAACATGTATTACTCATCAGGGGAATGACAACTCTCCTTAATGGCCATAGCATAGTCAAACATGCTTAGATATTGAATCAGGCTGACCTGAAATAAAAGCTCAATTCTGCCACTTTCTTGCTATGTGACCCTAGAAAAAGCACTTTTACTTCTGTTTATCTCTAACTGGGAAAATAAAACCAAATATCTTTATACCCTCTCAAGTTAAAACTATTAGTTATTTATGGCTTTAAAAAGATACTCTATTCTGCTATGAAGTATATAATGATTAAAAATGAACAAATGAACCATCCCTACCAACAATATTACAGCAAAAGCCCAGAATTTCTCTTTTGCCTATTCCAAGCATGAAGATTGTTTTCACTGACTTTTAAAGGGCAAATAATATACAAAGGTTGAAGTTAAGGAGATTTTCTACTTATTAAATCTATTTTAAAAATAGAAATCGTTTGGAAAGTATTTTCTCCTGTTCCAGTAGGAGCTGGACACAGATGCTTTTTTTTTTTCTTTTGATTTTCCATCCTCTGGATAATTAGGAAACAAGAGGATTTAGTGCAAAAGAACATAGAAAAAATATTTCTGCATCAAGAGGAGAGCTGGAGAGGCAAAAAGACCTTACTTTTATTAGCTTCAGCAGCTTAGTGGAATTAAAAAGATCACTTGTGGCTCATATAGTGAGAAGTAATATTGAACAGCCGAGAGACAAGTTGCAGGGGCTTTCACAATAAAGCAGCCTAAAGCCAGAAGCTACCGATGCTTAAGCTCTAACAATGACTGTGGCATGAAACTGAGATGCAGGGTGGTTTATTCGAATATTCTCATAAATATTTGTATATAAAGGAAAAGTCAGAGTAATATGAAATGTACTTCTTTAGTTTTTTTTTTTTTCTAAAATTAATCTAAAGATGTGGCAGGACGCCAGATCAGAGATCAGAAAGCTGGAGCATCATCTAAACCTTGTTTCTCACTTATATGAGAGTCACTAGTTCTCACTCTTAAGTCATTACAACCTGGGTGTCATCCCCCTTATCCTTGAAGCTAGAAGGTTGAAGCTAGAAGGTTCAAGTCTAAGTTTCTACTCAACTCTTTAATTCTCTGGCTGTATGGTCTAAGTTTATTTATTCTTCAGTCAATCAGTATCTCAGTCAGTTATTTCTGGGAAAATTTGTCACCTATGTCCTGGGCACTTAGATACAATTTACATAGAAAACAAAAATTTAATCACCTCTATTTACCAGGCTATGTTCTTAGCTCTTGCTTTCTGTGCCTTAGAGTTTAAGGTGAAATAGATAGAAAAAAAGACAAACATTAAAATTTATACTATGTCAAAGGGTGATGAGTGCTATGGAGAAAGGCGAAAGGCAAAGCCAGGGATCGAACATTGGGTCTGGTTATTGCAGATGACCCTTAGAAAGATGGAAGGATAAGAGTTATGCCTGTGGTCCTAAGATCCAGGCAACCATCAGGTTCGATGTTGACACAGAGAATTGGTGTCACACTTGTGCAATGTGCTCAGGAGGAGTAACAGGGTTTTCGGGACAGTCCTTTGAGCCCACTGCACATTTTATCACCCATTTTTAGCTCTCTGTTTAATGAGATAGCAAATGAAACAGGAACATGCTGATATGTGTGTTAAGAGTCAAGAGATAAGAACCTGCATTTGCCACAGGAAAATGATAAAAATCAGTAATAGAGAAAACACATTTCATTTTCCTAATCTGTTAGCGGTGAGGGGAGATGAAAAATATCTGCAAAAATACTTTGCATACCCTTTCAAATGTAAATCATCAAAAGGCAGCATACTTAATAGAGGACCACATGTTGAGATAGAATATATAAGAGGAAATTGTAGCATCTTATTAATGAAATAAATCAACTTCTCTTTAAAAGTCCTTTCAATATTCAAGCCATGGATACTAGTCTTGAATATTTCTCACTGAAATTGATAGTTTGGTGTGTTGAGAATGGATTATAAACAAAAAGCTACCTCTCCTGGGACACCTTGGTTTCTGAGGTTTAGGTTCTACCTTCTGAAATGATGCTCAGGGGGAAATGAAAATGTTCTTAACCCTGAAGCAGAACAAGTTATGTAATGTAGATGACAGTTGAAGAAAATAAGGTGGAAGGAGAGAAAAATACATTTCAACCTCCCTTGTGTTATTAGTATTTGCAAGTAAGGAGCTATAGTTTTCTTGATTTTCTTCCACCTAGGATGTGGAATAGGGGCAATTGTAATCCCAGAAATAAACCAAAACAAGACACAATCACCTTTAATGAAACCTCTTAGGTCTGCTCCAAAGCTCAATATTTGAGAAGCAGTACTGTAGTCAAGGATGAATTCAAATGTTTTTAATATGCATAAATATACATTGAAGACATTCATCAAAATTCCAGCAAGAGAAATATGCTTCTAAAATAAGTATTGCCGATATGATTTCTCATAATTTATTCTCAAACATCTCTGTGTATGCTTCAGCATATTCTTCTAAACTGGGAAGTAAAGCATTTTTATAAATCTGAAAATGTCATGCAAAGATGTATTTCTCACTTTTAATAACCCCTTTTAAAGCAAATATATGATACTGTATTTATTAGGATGCAAAAATGATCAAAGTGTACATTTGAAAATGATCTTATTTTACTTTGTTAGGAAGAAAATGATTTAACATGCACGTGGAATGATTCGTGTAAGTACTTTCTATATTTTCATTTTTGAATAGAAATGTCATTGACATACAAGATGTTTATATGTCTTTATCATTTGATGTCTACTAAAAGTTTTTGCTTTGTGATTACCATAAGGTTCACATATAATATCTTTAAGGGAAGGATAGGCCCCAGGGCAGGTTTTCTATGATCCCAGCAGACGGGGTGTAGGGTAAGGGAAAATGTCAGGCTTTTCTGCCCTCCTGCCATCAGGATAGATGATGCAACCCTGCGGTCCTGTATGCATGCCTGATGGCGGGCATCTGAAGTAGGGTGTGGGCATAGGTAGATGGGATTCACCTGGGCTAAGATTGTGCTTTTAAGGGCGGCGTCATGGGGACATCAGCAGAAGCCAAGAACGAACGGAAGCCGAAAGAAGAAGAGAACAAGAGAGAACGCCAGAGAGCCCAGATGGAGTGAAGATTTGCTGGGGGCTGGGAGGCTGGCAGGCCTCCCAGCACCCCAGCATCCCAGCACCCTTGCCTGTTGTGTACCCGCTAAATCCCAATAAAAGACCTGCAAAAATCACTGAGGACTCTGACTCCTCCTTTACCTGGTCTGCATGGGATCACAAAACCTGCCCTGTGGTCTTCCTGACTTTACACCGGGTAAGGGAGGAGTCAGAGTCCTGGAGCCCTCAGTGGCTTTTGCAGGCTTTTTTTGGGATTTACTGGGTATAGGGCAGATAGAGGTGCTGGGGGGCTGGGAGGCTGGCAGGCCTCCCAGTCCCCAGCAAGTCTTCACTCTTTCTGGGTTCTCCAGCGTTCTCCCTGCTTCTCTGCTCTCAGCTTCTCTGCTTCTCTCAGCGTCTGCTGGCGTCCCCGCGACACTGCCCCTAAAAGCACAGTCTCAGCCCAGTGAATCCCATCTACATATGCCCACACCCTACTCCAGGTGTCCTCCATCAGGCATGCATTCAGGACCACAGGATTCCGTCATCTATCCTAATGGCAGGAGGGCAGAAAAGCCTGATACTTTTTACCTTACCCTACAGTATCATATGTGTATAATGCTATATTGTAAATTGTTAGCAACTTTAATTTGAATTCATCTTAAAACTGTACATTTTTACTGCTCCACTACCCCCTTTTACTATGTATGATGTCACATTTAATATGTATGATGTCACATGAGTAATAACTAATTACTGTATTATTTAACATTCCTTTTGTCTTTTTTTTGTGGGACCTTTGCTGGCGGCCGGGGAATGAACTGGCGCTGCAGAGGCTGCGGGTAGCCTCGCAGCCCAGCGCTCAACCACTGCGCCACCAGGGGAGGCCCCCTTTTGTCTTTTAAACCCCAGTACATATAGCAGATCAGGTGCACATAATTTGGGCATGTTTATGTCTAGTGGGATGTATTGTCAAGGATTGTTGATTGCCCTAAAAATATACTAGCTTAATTACTACAGTAATAACATGTTCTGTTTTCTAAACATCCAAGCAACTGCCAAAAACCTTGGACCATCCACCAAAGTTCCCCACTGGTGAGAGATTGGCAAAACAAATATATTGGTCCCTGCATTCTGAGCAAGGGTTTTAAATATACCCTGTTTTATGTGGACACTGCACCTGACCTAACCTATACTTCCCCTTGTTGCCACACAAACCAGGCTGTCACCATAAGAGGATTAAAGAAACTGAGTACATGACATCAGCTTGACAGTGATAGGAGGGTGGAGGTTACATTTCAAAGGTCATGAAATATGGCAAGAGAACATGATATTGCACGGAGGTTCCATCTCCCCTATAATCTGCAGGCAGCAGGGTTGATAGAAGGAAGAATGGAGTATCAAAGCAGAAAACCATCTGGGGGTCTAGACTAGAGGACTGTCCCAGTAAATACCCTGACTGATCCTACCCCCAGCCTGTAGGACTTAATGAAACAGTGGCTTGGGTCCTGGAAATCAAAATGGGAAAGTTCTTCCTGATTTTGGAATTGTTACCTTAACCTGTGTTTCCCCTGGCGTGTGATGTATTATTGCTGGGGCACCTGCCTCCAATGCAGCAACCAGAGAGCCACCAAATGCGGCACCTCCATTGCTGGTGAAAACACCCCTTGCTGACCCTCAGAGCACAATGCAAAAGGATAGGGGGGGTGAGGAGGAGGCCGGGAGCTTGAAAGAGCCGTCCCGGAGGGGCGGCATGTTGGGAAGACAGCTTCACACACGTGGTGAAGCGAGGTAGCCCCGGGCAATTAGAGGTCTTGCCTCCCTTTCCGTGTCAAGTGCCTATGTCCGCTTCCACCTGGCTGCTTATCCAGCCCGCCCTCCCCAGCCTGCTTTCTGGCTGGTTGAGAAGAACCACAAACACCTGGAGGTGCCCTGGGCGGCACGTGCTGGCGCCTGCGCAGTGCAACACGGCCTGTCTCTTCAAGGGGGGGCCCGGCGGGGGTGCAAGCAGATGCGGCGAGGCGAGGCGATGCTGCTGCTGGGCGCACACCAGCCAGGCTACAGAAAGGTAAGGAAAGCGCAGGAAGGGCACCCGCCGGTGCCTCTGTCCCCAGGGAGTGTCCCTGCAGGCCCTTGTGCCTTTGGCAGATGCTTCAGGGTCCACAGCGTCTCCCGCAGGTCTGAGGCGCTTTGCGCTGGGTGCCCCGGGGAGTGGTTCCCTGAGCTTGCAGGTGGTGCTCCCCATGTTGGTTTCCAGGCTGGTCTGTTTTTTCATGTGGGGCCTCTGGTGCAGGTCTCAGGGCTGGCGAGCTGATGTGGGGCCTGGACACCTCAGCTCTCGGGGAGAAGCCTGTGTGTGACGCCTCCCGGCTGGTTCTCCGGGTCGGCCTGGGCTTCCTGGCGCACCGTGTCTGCCACTTGTACTCATTTTGTTGGGGTCCTTTTGTTCCTTGTTTTCACGGAGTTGTTCAGCTCCTCCTCAGGTAGTCAGCGGAGACGAATATTCCACAGGTAGCTGTGGATTTGGTGTGTTTGTGGGATGAGGTGAGCCCAGGAGCTTCCAAGGCGCCATCTTGCACCACCTCCCTCATTTTCTTTTGAAGCTAAACTTGACCTGTGAGGTTTTGTCATTACAGAGAGAGGATAGACAGAAAAAAACTAAGCAGGTCACTACTTCCTATTCTAAAGGTCCTTCTCCCAGTGTTTCATTAAAGACATGAGTATGTGTTTTACTGTGCACATGTTAGAAGCACTTCTTAAAAACCTAATTGCAGAGATTATCCTATGATTAACATGCGCTTTAGCAACAAAAATGTTAAAGATCTTGTCTGATACACCGTAGACTCCTCCGTATTACCTCTTTTTCTATTTAATACTGTACTAAGCTTAACAGTTTTTAAATTCAGGCTTTTAAAAAGAAGAATGACCCATTTGAGAATGAAGCTTTCTTGGATCAAAGTTTAAATTATAAAATGGTAGGAGACCAGAAAGTGATAGTAAAGAGGGGCTGGAAATAGTTCATAAAGAATAGGTCATTAAATGCCGTTTCTGTTGAAAATGAACAGTTACTTTCCTCTGGGTGGGGAAAGGTTATCACATATTTTGGGAACACACGGGAACAATATAGACTGATAAAATGTATGTGAAGTAGAAGCTTAGAGGAAGAAACAGTTAATAGTGAAATGGGTAAAGGACTATCAATATCTGTGATTAAAAATAATAGCTATTCTGAGACTAACAAGAGGATAAAGACTACCATGTTTCTTTAATACTTGGTGAAGTTAGGTTCCTGGAGCTAACTATGAATCTTAAGAAAAATTAAGGAAAAAATTACTGGGTGGTGTTCTGTTTAAGTTCAAAAGAAGTAGACATGGTAGCGTCTGGTTTTGATTTGCATTTCTCTGATGACTAAGGATGTTGAGCACCCTTTCTTGTGCTATGTAACCATCTGTGTATTTGATTTTGAGAATTATTTCTATACATTGTACAGATTTCATTGGATTATTTAACCTTTTACTATTGAGTTATTCTTTGTATTTTGGGGGAAATACCAAATGGTGAGAAAATGGAGAAATTGGAACTTTACATTGCTGTTTGGAATACAAGTGTTGCTATTTTCTTTGGAAGGTATTTTGAGAGTTCCTCAAAGAAGTAAACATAAGTTATGTGACCCAACAATCCCACTCTTAGGTGCATATACAAGAAGACTGACAACATATGTTTACACAAAAATCTGTACACTAATGTTCATGGCAGGGTAATTCACATAATCGAAGGGAAAAATTAACCCCAGTGCCCTTAATGGATAAATAAAATGTGGTGTGTTCATAAAATGGAATATTATTCAACAATAAGGAAAAAACTGGTTCATGAACGGGCCTAGAAAACATGCTGAGTGAATGAAGTCAGACAAAAGGTCACATGTAATTTCATTCATATGAAATGTACAGTATAGGGAAATACATAAAGAAAGTAAATTAGTGGTTGTTAGCAAATAGGGAAATTTGGAGTGACTGTTACCATATACAAGATATTTTGGGAGATGGTGATGGAAATTTTTTGTAATCAGATGATAGTGAAGATTGTTTAATACGGTAAATGTATTAACAACTACTGAATTGTGCTTTTTTTAAAATAGTGGGTTTTATGTTATAAAAATAGACTATGCTTACAATAAGCAGAGGTTGGTTCCTAAATATATGTTGGCCCATTTCTAGATTTGGTAATATAATTTGAAGCTTGAAAGTGAATTTAGCACATCTATCAGAGGTTGCTGAATTAGGAGCATAGTTCTGTGACTAGTTTACATTCAAGATATTCCTGTGAGTCAGCTACTGAATCTAGAAATAAACCCTACAGGATCCAGACAATTCTAATTATGATATTATTAATTGAAAATTTACTTATGATTGTGTCAGGCCAAAAAAAAAAAAAAAGTAAGAAAACCTCCAGCAAACCAGCTATCCTCTGCAAACCTTGCATAGAAGGGACTCATTAGGGGAGATTATTTTTAATACTGCCTTAAATATGTAAACTTTTGTAAGAATTTGGTTACGCAGCAGACCTCTCCTGTCTTGCCCATTGCTCCCC